GCACTGGGTGTTATGCACAAACAATGAATCATGGAACATTTCATCTAAAACTAATGATGTAATGTATGGGGATTAACATAAGAATAAAAAAAAATAGTGAAAAAAAAAATAGCTCAGTCTGGGACTTGTGGTTGAAAGATAGACTGAATACACCCAATAGCCTCTATTCCCTACTAAATAGAAACAAAGGGATTTATTTATTTATTTTTTAAAGATTTTATTTATTTATTTGACAGACAGAGACACAGCGAGAGACAGAACACAAGCAGGGGGTGTGGGAGAGGGAGAAGCAGGCTTCCCAATGCGGGGCTCGATCCCAGGACCCTGGGATCATGACCTGAACCGAAGGCAGACGCTTAATGACTGAGCCACTCAGGCACCCCAAAGGGATTTTTTTTTTAAAAGCATAAACCCTCTAGGACAAGGGCTGGCGAACTACAGCCCTTGGGCCAATACAGCCTGCTGCCTGCTTTGGTAAATAAAGTCTGACTGGAACAGTGACACCCATTCGTTTACCTAATGTATGGCTACCTTCATCGCTCAGTGGCAGAGCTGAGTAGTTCCAATGGTCAAACAGCCCACAAGGCATAAAATATTCACTATCTGCACCTTTAGAGAAACGTCTGCCAACTCTGCTCTAAGACAGAGAGAACAGGCAAGGAGCCAAAAGCAACAAGATGCAGAGAAACAGAAAACAAATGAACAAATAGAAACTAACTCTGCTGACCCAAAACAAGCTGCCCCCTGACCAGGCTGGCAGAGGAGGGTATCAAAAGCGTAACGTTGATAAAAATAAAAGACAAATTAAAGAACAGTAAGAATTTATTTTTTTTTAAAGATTTTATTTATTTGAGAGAGAAAGAGAGAGCATGAGTGGGGCAGGGGGAGAAGCAGACTCCTTGCTGAGCAGGGAGCCTGATGCGGGGCTCGATCCCAGGACCCCAGGATCATGACCTGAACCGAAGGCAGATGCTTAACCGACCGAGCCACCCAGGCACCCCAACAGTAAAAATTTAATAAACAATAGCTGGGGAAACTATTTGTAGCTAAAAACTCAGGAAATGTAGCACCTATGAACCTTTCTTGGAAAAGCTTATTGGCAGCGAACTCGAGCTGAGTCGTATCGGTCACGTAGCAACAAGGGCAGACTGAGAGGGACAGACCGGTGGACATGTGTGATCATTTCAATGCAGAATTGTAACTCGGGGAATTAGGACAGCAAGACAGCATCAAGAATGATGCACCCTGATGATGTAAGAATCACCGCACCAAAGGAAACACACATAAAAGACAGAGAAGGACAGGAAGAAGCGTGAGAGTGCTAATTTCCTGACCTCCCGGGGCAAGACTACTGAGGAGGTCTAACCGTGAAATTGTCGCCTGTGGACTTCAACTACCGGAATCCTCTTTATCTATGATCCTTTTCTCTCCCCTTTTAAACCTTAAGAGTATCTTTAAGGAACTAACATCTCTGTGGTGAAGGAACATTTATGGGGAGCTTAGCCCATCTCTCAGTTTCAATTCAGTCTTTCTCTTTTATAAAAATTAAACTGTAATTAAATTTCATACATTTTCATTTAAAATAGCTTATGTAGGGGCACTTGGCTGGCTCAGTCGGTGGAGCATGGGACTCTTGACCTCGGGGTTGTGAGTTCAAGCCCCACGTTGGCTGTGATTACTTAAAAATAAAATCTTTAAAATAGCTTATATGGTATAATCCCATCACTATAGAATGCTCTCTCTCACCATCTGATCTTTTTATCTTTATATATGCATAGAGAACTCCATGAAATGATGTTCATCCCCTCTTTTTGTTTTTAAAGATTTTACTGAGAGAGAGCACGAGCGAGTGAGAGCATGAGCTGGGGGGAGGGGCAGAGGGAGAGCAAGAAGCAGACTCCCCACTGAGCAGGGAGCCCGATGGCAGGGCTCGATCCCAGGACCTCGAAATCATGACTGAGCCAAAGGCAGACGCTTAACCTACTGAGCCACCCAGGTGCCCCTGTTCATTTGTTCTTAACTATGTTTTTCTGAGTAGAAAAATTCTAGTGACTTTTTTCTTTCTTCTTTGTATTTTTTTTACATTGCTTAAACATAATGTCCAGCATTGAACCAAAAAGGAAACCACCACCAAAAAACAAGCATATATAAAGTTTTGTTTTTTTACCATTATAGTAGCCAGCAGCCAGGTGATGATGGGGCCGGGTGGGCATCCAGGCCAGGCTAAGGCACTGACCGCACTCAGAGGGGTCCGAAGCTTGCATAGACCCTACCTGAAGGGTTGCCACACATTGTACCTGCAGGGACAGAAGAGCCGGGACTAGGGTTAGGGATACTTACCATTTGCAACAAAGGCTCAAATCAGTGTTTAATTCCGCAGACGGGGAGAGGCAGAAGGAGACTCACTGTGGAATCAGAAAGGGAGGCTCGAGAAGATGGAGCCTTGGCTAAGGTAGCAGATTCCTCACTCACCTTATAGATGGCGGGCTTCATTGCATCTGTGAGGGAAGAAGAGCAGTAACTGATGCTCTGGGAACAGAGGACTGACGTCCTGCCCTGCCTTGCTCTTAGATCAGCCCCCCCGATCTGACAATGACCTTCCCTGACAGCTATCTTTCCTCCAGCACATTTATGAATCTACCTCTACCTGCCCCCATCTTCTTTTCCCCCCCTTGTTGTACTTGAGTGTGTCCTTCCTCCTATCAGAATGGCTAATTGCTCCACTCCGCTCCCTCCCCACCCTCTCTCACCTTTTCCAGAACTTCGCTCATTTGGTTATCTTTCCTTTCTCCTGAATGATCCACTTTCTCTCTCCCTACTGGGTCATTCTCATATTCAGACATAAACATGCACTACAGTCTTCTAACTAAATGAAACAAACACACAAACCAAACCCTTCCTTTCCCCTTATTCACCTCCAGCACCACCCTCATCTATGTGTTCTTCACAGCCAATCTACTTGAAAGAATTGTCCATGCATCTGTCTTCACTTCCTCACTGCCTATTCGCTCCTCAGCCCACTCCTCTGCCAGACCACCAAATATGGGATTTCTCGGGGCTCAAACCTGGGTGCCCCCTTCCTTACATACTCAGTACAGCTGAAAAACAAATTTGACAAACAGGAGATGCCTCTCGTTAACCCCTTCCTCTTCTGGCTCATCTTCAGCTCTACATTCTCTCCCTCTCTTCCCAACAAAGAGACTGTGTTTATGTGTACGTGGCAGTTAGGCCAGGAGAGGTCAAGCACAGGACTGGGGGAAGGAGAAGAGTATGGCAGGGGAGATCAGCCTTAGCAGTTCTTTACACAGCCAATCAGCTGTGGCAGCAGGAGGGGAGAGCCTGAGAGCACAGAGCAGGGAAAGGGGAAGAAGGGGAGTGGGCTGAAAGAGCCCAGTGATAAGACTGCAGGAGAGAGTACCCCTTGCAGGCTGCTAAAGAGAGAGGTTGAGGACAAGAGGTGTGAAGTCAGAGTGAGTGGGGTGCTAAGTGAGGCTCTGTCCCAGAGGCTGGGCCGGGAGGACTTTCAGGAGAGATGGACAGACCAGCTAGGGTAGCACCACGCCCCCTGGGCTACTGTGCTACTCACCTGGGGACTGCTGAGCCAGCAGGGCCTCCGGATGGGGCAGACTGAACAGCAGCACCTTCCCGTCGGAGCAGGCAAGAGCCAAGAGGCCCAACCTGGGCAGGAGAGGAGCCTAGAGGGGGAGACCAGATCTGTGCTGAGGCTTGCCGCCTTCAGGGCTTCTTAGAAAACTTTTGAGGTTCTGGTCCCTGGAAATGACAGGGATTTGCTGGGAAGACTCCATCCTCCGCTCTCTGTCAACTCTGGGAACTCATAGGGCCTCTCTGTTCTGCCTGTGAGTCCTAAGGCATCCCACAACGAACACGGAGGTACCTTCCGAGGGGTGCCTGGAAGTTCCCATGCTCCACTGGGGCAGAACTTGAGGTCCCAGATGCAGCCGTGGTCACAAGCAATCCCATAGACAAAGTGAGCCCTGTTGCCAGGACTGAGGAGAGAAAGTATATGGGGCAAATGGGCAGGGAGAAGGGGCCGAGGGCCGCCAGAGCCTGTGCTCCGCCCCATCTCATCCAGGCCCCCCAGCTCCCCTCCCCAGCTTCCCTGCCCAGGTTATCTCCTCCTCAACCACACTCCCATGGCAGCGCCCCAGCCCCACCTCACCAGCTTTCCTGTTGCAAGGTCCCAAGGCCCCAGACTTGGAGCAGCCCAGGACCCGAATGAAGCTGGCTCAGTGGGTGTGTCTCATTCATGTCAGGGCTGGAGAAAAGGGCCACATACTGCGAAGCTGCCGCCCCCTCTGGTACCGGACACCAGTCCAGAGCCCAGAGGGGCCCCCCCGTGAAGAAGGACACATCCCAGCGCTCTGGGTGTGCTGTGATCGAGCTAAATCTAAAGAAAAATCAAAGATGGGATGAAGAAAGGAATTAACAAAAGGTATTAAGGACTTCAGTAGGTGAATGGATAAATTAACATCCAAACAATGGAATATTATTTGGCACTAAAAAGAAATGAGCTATCAAACCATGAAAAGGCATGGAGGAACCTTAAATGCATATCATTAAGTGAAAGAAGCCCACCCCAAAAGGCTACACACTGTGTGATCCCAACTATGGGACATTTTGGAAAAGGCAAAACTATAAAGACATCAAAAGATCCGTGATAGCGACGGGTTAGAGGGGAGGGCAGGATGAGCGGTTAGAGCACAGAGGATTTTTAGAGCAGTGAAACTACTCTGTATGGTATCCTAACAATAGAGACAGGTCACTACACATTTGTCCAAACCCACAGAAAGCACAACACCGAAAGTGACCCCTAATGTAACTTATGGACTTCGAGGGCTGCTGCGTCAGTAGCGGGTCATCAACTGTCACACACGTGCCCTCTGGTGGGGGATGTTGATAACAGGGGAGGATGTGTGCATGTGGAGGAGGGGACGGGCGTATATGGGAGATCTCTGCACCTTCCTCTTAGTTTTGCTGTGAACCTAAAACTGCTCCAAAAAAATTAAGTCTTTAAAAAAAAGAAAAGGTAATGAGGACAGAATGGGAGCTCCAGCTGGCGCCGGTATGAACTGGCCTAAGCAGGGGCCAGAACAGCAAGAAGGTCTATGGGTGAGAACAGTCCTGAGCCACCATCTGTATCTGCCTCCTTTCCTTCCAAAGCCTGTCTAGCTCTAGTTCACCTTCAAAGAGGAGAGGCTGTGCATTCTGGTCTACTACAGTGTTCTCTCCAGGGCCAGTCTGTCTGGGTCTATCTGAGCAGATGTGACCTGGTAAACTGGCCATCCATCTCCCTCACTTCCCTCAGTCTGGCCAGCAGTGATGAGCACTGCAAATTAGAGCAGGTTAACCAGATCTAGCCAGGACTCCTACCTTGGGACCCCCTGGAACAGCATCAGGGGAAGAACAGGGCCAATCTGTCATCCCTCTCAATACTCATTTTTTCTATTTCTATCTCCTAGAATCAGAAACAGATACGCAATCTTCACCTGTTTATTCGGTAGAGCGTGCCGTCCTCAGGAAGTCCTTCACGCTGGACAGAAAACAGTGGAGACTTCTCTTCCTGGGGCAGGTAGGGAGCCGCCTCACTGGTGGCGGGGGAGTCAACAGTGTGAGTTTGGAAGTTTCACCCATCCCAGGATTCCCTGTCACCCTCCTGTCTTTAGGGGTGTCACCCCTTCCCAGCTTCAGAATCTCTCTTTAACTTACAGTTCAGATAACAAGTGCCACTTCCAGGCCAACGGAATCCATTCTGCAAACTCCCAGTATGAATGCTTCTGCTCTCGGCTGGAGGAACAGAAGAAGCATTAATGAAGGAAAAGAGAAATTCTAGCGCAGCGCTGTCCAGTAAACCTTTCTACAATGATGGAAGTGATCTATCATCTGTGCTGACAGATACACTAGCCACTCGCTCCACGTAGCTACTGGGCACTTGAAATGTGGCTAGTGTAACTGAGAAACTGGACTTTTAATTTTAATTAACTTTAAATTACATTTAAATGGCCAAACACAGCTAGAGGCTACTATGTTGGACAGCACAGCTCTGGAGCTCTCGCCTTTGGAGCAGTGCCTTTTAGTTATGAATGTCTTCAGTGTCCTGCCCTGGGAGTGCCCTCTTTCCCATGGCCCCACTTCTAGATGGTCCTTTGCACGCCACCACCTTCTCATCCCCAGCCCCCTTCCTCAAGTCTCACAGGTCCTTGGTGAGATGGAGGCACTTCCAAACAGGAGCCATGATGTGATTTGGTAAGCCATTGGGAGCCATTCCCCGGCAGTGTGGCTTCTGCTTCTGAGGAGCAAATGGGAACAAAGTATAAGGGAGAGAATTTTATAGATAAGACAAAGTCCCCAGAAGGCAGCTTTCCCAGCTTCTACTTTTCTTGGCACTGCTTCCTCTCTAGCTGACTTATCAGCATCTTAAAAGACTGATGTTTCCGCCATTACAATGACTTCTCCACCTTCTGCTCCCACTCCTCCATCAGAACTGCAAAGCCTGTTACGTATTTTCTGTTCACCTTCCTCGGCGTCTCCAAGGCATTTGGTTCAGAGGACTCCCATTTGCTTCCTGAAACCCCTGCCCCATGGGATAGCGTCTCCTTATTCTTCCTGCCTCTCTGATATTCCCCCACCGGCACTCCCTCCTCTGACAGGTTTGGGTAATGATGGTGTTTCCCAGAGTCCCTCTGTCTTCTCCTCAACCCTCTATACATATACTCTCATCCCATGTCCACGGCTTTGACTACCATCGTTGACTTCTTAGTAAATGTAAACTTTACCCAGTTTTAGCTTTCCTACAAATTCTAGACTTTTACAGTGTGGTGCCAACCCATATTATAGAGCCTAAGGCAAAAGGAAAATCAGTAATACAGTTCCTGTTTTTATTTAAAACTTTGATATTTTGTTCACCATAAATTTGTTGCATTTTTTTTTTAAGATTTTATTTATTTGAGAGAGAGAGTGCGAGACAGAGAGCACGAACGGGGGAAGGGGCAGAGGGAGAGGGAGAAGCAGACTCCCCACTGAGCAGGGAGCCCAACACGGGGCTTGATCCCAGGACCCCAGGATCATGACCTGAGCCTAAGGCAGATGCTTGGCCGCCCGAGCCACGGAGGCGCCCTGCATTACCTTTATTTGTTAAAATGTTGCATCAAAATATTTATCTTGATTACTGAGGGGTTTGGTGTTCCCTTAAATGTTGCGCTTGAGACAAGGAAGGCACACGTCCATGCACATGACTGGCAACCAGACATCTCCAGTAGGACAGCTCATGGCACACAGGCACCTCCAACTCAGCATGTCAGAAAATGAGCCCATCACCTCCCCTGCTCACCCTCACTCCTCCCCTGCTCCCACCATTCCTCTGTCCCGAAGTCCAGCACTTAAGAGCACCATCTAAGCTAGAAACTCCTACTCCTTCCTTTCCAGCAACTGCCAAGTGCCGCTAACTCTCTAAAATGTCTCTTGCACCTGCCCCCCACCTTGGCTTGCTTCACAGCCTGATCCAGGCTCTCCCTGTCATGACCTGGATAACCAAAGCTGTCTTCTGACTGTCCACTGCAGACTGACCTATCGTCCTAACTGATCACGTTATTTTTCTACCTAAAAACCTTTGTTGCACAGAGTTTCTGTGATGATGAAAATGTTTTGGAAATGGGTAACAGTGATGGCTGCACAACACTAGGAATGGCCTAATGCCACTCAGTTGTATTTTTTGGGGGGGGGTGGAGCAGAGGGAGAGGGGAGAGAGAATCTCAAGCAGGCTCCACGCCTAGCATGGAGCCTGACACGGGGCTCGATCTCACAACCGTGAGATCATGACCTGAGCCAAAATCAAGAGTTGGATGCTCAATGGACTGAGCCACCCCGGCGCCCCCAAAATAATTTACATTTTTAAATGGCAAATTTTATGTTATGTATATTTTACCACAATTCAATAAACATACAAACACCTGTGTTGGCTCCTACCAGTCTGTCCTTCCATCCTCTCAAGTTTAATCCCCCACCCCTGCTGGTCCCGCAGGGCATTTCTATACCTTTGGGAACTTGCTGAGAGCTCTCAACAGCTCTGCCTGCTTTAGTGCCCTGTCCTGGGAATTCCCAGGAAAACCACTCTCTCTGGCAAACTCCTGTTCACCTTTCAAGACCTAGCCCAGCTATCACTTGTCTGTGAAGCCCCAGCAGTTCACTGCCCTCCTCGACACGCCAAAAGCATTTGGTTCCCTCCTGGTGAAGCCCTCATCACACAGTGGAGTCTGTGAGGCAGGAGGCTGTCTTAGTCATGTGCGTTTCCTAGTGCAGAGGAGGTACTCGATAGCTGAATGAGTAACCTCATGCACTTACACGCCCAGCCCCCGCCTGCTCAGCTGTTTTTTCGTTTCTTCGTTTACTTATTTTGGCCATCAGTTAGTTACTAGGCCAAAGCTTTCCGCTAGGGCACCCTGCAGACCCCCCTAACAATCCCTCTACCTCTCTATTCGCTTTCTTGTTCACTCAGATTACCCCTGAAGTGGATCCTCGTGGGGTGCTTTGAGGCACCACAGGCTCAGGGTCAGAGGAGCTCTCACTTGGGCCCTCGCTTTCATCTCCATCTTCAGCCTCAACCTGGAGAACGAAGTCTTCATCCCGTGCAGTGTCATCTTCTTCTTCTCCACCTTGACAGGCTGCCTGCTGCCGGTTTTTCTTCGGTTTGGCAGGGCTGCTCACCTTGGGGCTCTCAGGACAGGACACTGGAGCGGGCAGGGCCGTTGAGAGCTCTTCAGCCAGTTCCTGAAGGTACAGAAGTGCCCTGCGGGACAGGGCAGAGTCAGAGCCATACTCACAAACACTTAACTGAGAACCCACTTTTCCAGACACTTGACCGATTATCTCACTGGATCTGCCCAGTGACCCTGTGAAGCAGCTATTCATTTCCCCTCCCCCTTTGATAAAGAACCAGAGATTTAGGGAAGTTAAGGGACTTGGCCAAGAGAGGACTCAGATCACATATGTGGAATCTGAACCCAGGTCAGCCAACTCCAAGTCCAAGGCACTTGCACTCTACCACAGTTAAAGATCAGTAAGAGCCCAGAGAAGAATGGAAGGGCACACAGAGACCAACAGATACTGGGCAGGGAAAATCACAATGAAGACCTGAAGGAAACTGAAAAATGTGACAGAATACAAGGCACAGAAAGCAATCTCCTGGACAAAGTCAGCAACAGATAAAAAAGTTGCTGTGGTAAGAGCTAGAAGATGGCTCAAGTCCCCAGAACCCAGACGCTACCCCCCGCTTACCTGACAACTCGTCACAGCCTCTCAGCTCTCCAACATCTGCCCCCGCCAACCCTTCACCCCGACCGCCCTCCACCAAGGTGCGCCCTACAATCCTTACACTTGGGCAGCCCTTCGGCGGGGTCGTTCCCCAGGAGGGGTCTCAAAGTCCTCAGGGGGCCTCTTTGGAGGTGGAGACTCTGGCTGATCTAGGTCTTTGGACAACTTCAGCAGTAGCAGCTCTGCCTTGGACCTTCGACCTCGTTTCTTAGGCATGGGGGCGGACAGAGGGTTGGATTGATCTAAGAGACCAGGAACCAGAGGGGCTGATGGAGGATTAGGTTGTTGGGGCCTTTTGGGGCCTTTCCGTGTGCTACCACCTCTCTTCCGGCCAGGCTTTGAGGCCCTAGGCTTTGAGACCTTTGACATCTCTGAAGAAAGATCTGTAGAGAAGAATATGGGTGAGATGAGACCAGAGTTCAAACCTCTGTGGAATAGATTATACCATAGCCAGGTCGGTAAGATCCTGTGAGCTCACCCTGCTCTCTTTCATCTTAAGCTAAGCATGGGGAGATAAAAATAGGAAAGGACAAGGTACATACCTTGCTGTTCAAGTCTGGAGAGGCTTTCTTGTTCTGCAGGGAGCCTCCTCTCATCAAGAGAATCCTCAAATCCAGGCAAAGGTGTAGGTAAAGACATCTCTATGGAAGCCTCAGCACTAGTTGTTTCTGAAGAGGCCTTGACATCAAGCTGATTTAGCACCTCTTGTCCAGGAGACACTACCACAGTCATGTTCCCCACGGGGCCGGCCTCCCCCAGGGCAACACAGCCGACCCCGCAGGTATCCATCAGCACCCCCTAAAATGGCTGCCCCTGCATAGAGACATACACATGAGTAGAAGGCAAAAGGTATTTGCACTGGCTCAGATTTTTCTACTTTCCTATCTTTTCTCCTCCCATCCCACCCACTGCCCACCCCCCAACCAGAAACCCAATCACTCCCTGATCACTCATTCATATAGCAATAATTACTAAGCATCTTCTATGTCAGGCACCGTTCTAGGAACTGGTAACATGACAATAAGCAAGACAGACAAGATCCCTGCCCTCATGGAACTTACACACTAGCAGAGCTAGCGATAAACAGATAATAAGAAAGCTACCATTTATTTATTAAATGCTTACTATGTGCCAAGCATTATATTCTTCAGCCAGTTTAATTTAAAGCTCTTAAGTTTACTCGTAAGGATAATGCAGTGAATGAACAATTATTCAACTTCTTTCCTTAAAACCCAATGAAATGAATCACCGTCTTCCCCTCAAAAAATAAAAAGAGAGGATGAAAAAATCTTCCTAAACCTCCTAGGAACAGACTGCAAAGAATAGCTGCCGAGGGGTGGCTGGGTGATGGACACTGGGGAGGGTATGTGTTGTGGTGAGCGCTGTGTGTTGTGTAAGGCTGATGAATCACAGAACTGTACCCCTGAAATAAATAAATTATATGTTAATAAATAAATAAATAAAAATAGCTGCCGATACATAAAATTTAGACCAAATTGAAGGAGGATGCCTAGAGCTAATATCCATCTTCGTGAATACTAGTCAAGGAATAGATTTATTTAATAATAAGTAAGAGTTCTCTAGTGCCCTGCCATTAATCTTTTACTTGAATAGGGGAGGTGGATGGCTAGGAGATAATTAAGGAACATCCTACCACATTAAGAGACCTTTCCCACATTGAAGAATGGACTAAAAAACTGTCATGAATCTTTTTTTTTTTTTTGAGAAAAAGAGAGAGAGAGAGGACTCATGCATACACCAGAGCAGGGGAGGGGCAGAAGGAGAGGGAGAGTCTCAAGCAGACTCCTGTTGAGCGCAGAGCCTGAAGCAGAGCCCAAGGCAGGGCCCGATCCCATGACCCTGAGATCATGACCTGAGCCAAAACCATGAGTCAGTCACTTAACCGACTGAGTAACCCAAGCGCCCCTCTTCATTCTTTTTTTCCAAACCCAGAAAATCATTTGTGCAACCATGGGCAAAAGTAAACTGACAGAGATAAAAACACTGAACACCAAACCAAAAAGCTGAGCAACACAGAACTCTGCAAGGGCCCAGTTTTTGGCCAGAACAATCTGCCTGTCTATGACAAAGGAGAAATAGCTCAAATCTCAGGAAGGAATCCCCCATAGATCTGTATATGCCTTAAGGATGTTTAACAGAACCAAAAGTAGTATACGATGTTGCTTCCAAAATGCCTAGTGGGCCACAGGAACCAGAAGGAACTGTTTTAAAGGCTACAGAGTAAGAGACTGAGATAAAAGAAACACAAAAGAAAAAACCTACAAGATGACATAAGATATGACTATAACAATAACCAAAGATCAATTCATCCATTAAAAAAAAAAAAAAAGAATAAAGATTTGATTTAAAAGCCAAACTATATCCTTTGAAAGAGATGTCTAAAACAAAGGAACTCAAACAGTTGGAAGTCAAAAGATATAAAAATATATAGGGCAAATGTAGGCACAAAGAAAACAGGAGTTTTGTTAACAACAAAGCTGAATTCAGGGGAAAAAGTATTAAATGGGACAAAAAGGGAATACTTGATAATAAATAAAACTTCAAATTATATAAAAGATAAATGTCATGAACTCTTAAGACATCAAATGACATAGCATCAAAACAAAGCGAAATCTTCAGGAAATACAAGAACTACTTTTATTTTTTTTTTTTTAAACTAATTTATTTTTTTAAAGACTTTATTTGTCAGAGAGAGAGAAGAGAGAGAGAGCACAAGCAGGGGGAGCTGCAGGCAGAGGGAGAGGGAGAAGCAGGCTCCCTGCTCAGGGACTCGATCCCAGGACCCTGGGATCATGACCTGAGCTGAAGGCAGACGCTTAACCGACTGAGCCACCCAGGCGTCCCAAGAACTACTTCTTTTAACCACTGACAGATCAAGTAGATAAGGACAGAGAAGACATGAATAAAATGATTATTTGACCTCTCTACTGGTCAAGGTTGAGCACATAGAACAGAATCCTCTCTAGCCAGTTCAGCTAAAAGGGATTTACTACTGGATATTACATGCATGGTTCACATCAGTGGTTCCTAAAGCATGGTCCTGGCAGCATCAGCATCACTTGGTAATTTGTTAAAATGCAGATTTCCAGTCCTATCCCAGACCTACTGAATCAGAAACTCTGGGATGGGGCCAGCACTTTTTGTTTTCACAAAGCCCTTCAGATTATTTGGATGCACATGCAAGTTTGAGAACCACCTGCAAGCAGGATCACTGGGAGGGTTGGGGGTGAGGAGGGACAGTTTAGGAACAAGGGCTGGTCAAAATGGGAAGTTGTCTGGCAGCTGCTGGTTCAAGAACCACAGGACCTCTCCTACGCCATGATGAGGAGGCACCTGCGAATCAAGAAGTTCCTGCCACAGCTGATGGCTCCATGAACTGCCTTGCACTGATCAGAAAGTGACCTGACTCAAGAGCGAAGACCCTTCTCGGCTCCCAGGTCAACAATCATACCCCTGCCACAATCTGAACTGGCAAAATGTATGGCCTGCCTCTCTCCTCTCTAAACTCGGGTCCAAATTTGAGAGCACATTTGACTGGCAAGACCTATCATATTCAAAATCTTGGATGGAAAAAAATTCCAGGAATTGAAATTTCTAGCTTTCCAGGCTCTCAAGTGGAGGTTTTTTCCTTCTCTCACATCCCACTGACCACACTGTAGAAGGTGGGATCAGTGTCTTGTCAGTTCCTCTCCGAATGCACCTGTAGACCAGCAGTCCTCCCTATCTTGTAAAAACTGTTCCTTTGAAGTCCGTAACATTCAGCTAACCCATTGCGACTCACTCACTGTAATACACTGGACCTTGTCTCACAAATCCTTTTAACCTCCAAAATCACAAAGACATCCTACTATCTGATCACAACCTCCCATCATTATAGCTAGATTGCTCAACTACTATCACTTTATCTATTCTTCAACCATATCAAGCCACCATCATTGATCTCTCCAGTTTCTCCCGGTGTTGGCCACATCCAATCTACCTTAGATTCCTTTATTTTAATCAGACTTTTGTTGATAGTATGAAGTTCCTTTCTTGTCTTTTTGTTCCACAGGACTGGCAAAATTTAAGCCCTGGATGAACCAACCATCCTTTTTCTCTACGCATGCATCTAAGCTGCCGGAGTGCTAGCAATCACACTTTCTCTCGTCAGCCCCCACATTCCCTCACCCCCAACCTCTGATCCTCTGGTTCTCAGCAGATGATTTTGCCTCTGATTTCCGAAACAAAACCCAAAGCCATTATGTGGGACAGACTTCGATGTCTGGTCAAGGAGCCTAACATTCCCTGCATCTGAACCCCTCATCTACTTTCTAAGCCCAACTTCCACTTGTGTTCTAGCTCTACTCCCCCATCTCTTAAGGACACTGGAATTGTTTAGCCTTTCCTTTTACATTGGTTGTTTCCAAACTGCATTTAAATGTCTCTAATTCTCATCTTAACACACACACAACAATCCTTCAACCCACATTCCTCCTCCCTCTCACAGTCAAACTTTTAAAGAGCTGTCTGCCCTTGATGTTTTAATTACCCTGCTTCATTTTGACTAGAATATTGCCCTCCAACTCATCACTGAGGCTGAAGTCATCAATAATTGCTGGGTCAACTAATGCAATGGGCACTTCTCAGTCTCATTTAACTTGATCTCTCAGCAGCACGATCGCTACTGACCACACCTTTCTCGGAACATTCTCTTTTCTTCAGAGGCAGTTTAAGTGCAATGAAATTTTAGATTTTTACAAAATCTTCCTCGATCTTTTACAGCTGTCTCACTCACACCTATTTGGCAGCCTCTTTGTTTCTTGGCAAATGTACCTCTTTTTTCTTTCCAAAGCATTCAACTTGGTTTGCTTTCTTTTTTAGAATTGTTTTTATAAAACTTTTAGTTGACACAAAATACTTGTAAATACATGTAGAATGTAAAGAATAACAAAGTACCTATTTATCTGCCACATTTCAACAAAGTTTTAATAGCAGTAACTCTTTCATACTCAAATTTCTTTAAAATTTAAACATATATCACAATTATATAAATATAATGACAAGTTAACTGACATAAAAAATGTTGAGAACCATTACAATGACTCTTGGCAAGCATTCAACTCAATCAGTGGAGAGAGAATGACCAGGCCTATAGGAGAAAAGCCTATAGGCTTTAAGCATTCAGTGTGCCATGGGCATCAGTCTGTACACTCTACAGAGGAAACGGGGAATGTCAGTTAACACAGGGAGCTAGTTAAATAGGTATCAGTTAAGAGAACTTCTATGTATGCCTTAAAGATTTTCCACATCAGCTCTTTTTCGCCGCCATCCTGCTCTGCATGGCTGGCTGCTTCTCACCATGTCTTCTCACAAGACTTTCAGAATCAAGCGATTCCTGGCCAAGAAACAAAAGCAGAATCGTCCCATTCCCCAGTGGATTCGGATGAAAACTGGTAATAAGATCAGGTACAACTCCAAGAGGAGGCACTGGAGGAGAACCAAGCTGGGTCTGTAAGGCGTCACCCATCATGAGATGACACACTTAATTGGCACACATATTTAATTAAGCTGCGTGAAGATCATGTGTTCTATCATTCTGTAAACATCCTTCCTACCTGGCCGTAGACTTGTCTTATCATGGAAATGATTTTCTCTGTGACTACACCTCCACACCAGTAGGTTGGTTCGGTAATAAATGCGAGACCTTTCACCTCAAAAAAAAAAAATTTTCCACATCAGTACACACACACACACACAGACAGACACACACACACATATATATATATCTCATTCTTCCTAGTTACTATCAAGTGTTCCTTAGAATTATAATCGTACCCATTTTACCACACCCTTGCTAGTCTTTAATTTTTGCCAATCTAATGCATCAAAGAATTCTTCCCTATTGTATTTATTTGCATTGTTCTGATAATGATTGAGGTTAGCAACTTCTTTTTATCTGTTGGACATCTATGTATCTATCTATCTAGCTATCTATATGTATTTTTTTTTAAGATTTGAGAGAGCGAGCGAGCAAGCGCACAAGCATGAGGGGGAGAGGGAGAGAGAATCTCAAGCAGACTCCTTGCTCAGTGTGGAGCACCACATGGGGCTCAATCTCCCAACACTCAAATCAGGACCTGAGCTGAAACCAAAAGTCAGTCACTTAACTGACTGTGCCACCCAGGCGCCTGGAACATCTATATACATTTTTTTTAAAGATTTTATTTCTTTGTCTGAGAGAGAGAGCATGAGCACAAGCAGGGGGAGCAGCAGGCAGAGGGAGAAGCAGGCTTCCTGCTGAGCAAGGAGCCCAATGTGGGACTAGATCCCAGGACCCTGGGATCATGACCTAAGCCAAAGGCTGTCAGACACTTAACCAACTGAGCCACCCAGGGACCCCCATTTTTTAAAAAAGATTTTATTTATTTCTTTGTCAGAGAGAGAGAGAGAGGGGGGACATCTGTATTTTTTAATGAATTGCCTGTACATATAATTTGCCCATACCTCTACAGGACAAATCAGTCTTTTATTGATCTGTGGAGCTGTTATTTTTGTTGCAAATACTTTGTTTCTACTTTTTAAAAAAGATTTATTTATTATTTTAGAGGGGGGAGGGGCAGAGAAAGAGGGAGAGGGAATCTCAAGCTGACTCTTCACTGAGCTTGGAGCCATACCGGAGGCTCCAGACAATACCCCGAGATCATGACCTAAGCTGAAATCAAGAGTTGGACACAACCGACTGAGCCACCCAGGCGCCCCACTTTGTTTTTACTTTTTAAAAAACTTTGTTTATGTTTCTTGCTAAACTGAAGTTATATTTTCTGAGTTAAATTTCTCAATCTTTTCCTTTGAGTTGTTTTGTGTCTTAAAAGGCCATTTCCTACCCTAATATAAACATATCCTATTTTCTTCTAATACTTCTTCTAGTTTGAATCTTAAATGTAACTTTTTTTTTTTAAGATTTTATTTATTCATTTGAGAGAGAGAGAGCACAAGCAGGGGGAGCAGCAGGCAGAGGGAGAAACAGGCTCCCTGTTGAGCAGGGACCCTGACCGGGGATTATGACCTGAGCTGAAGGCAGACAGACGCTTAACTGAGCCACCCAGGTGCCCTTAAATGTAGCTCTTCAGTCCATGTGGAATTCTATTATAAGAGAAATGGGTATTTATGTACTTCATATCTGTCTCACTTGGAAGTTTCCTAAGGATCTTGGGGCGCCTGGGTGGCTCAGTTGTTAAGCATCTGCCTTCGGCTCAGATCATGATCCCAGGGTCCTGGGATTGAGCCCTGCATCGGGCTCCCTGCTCGGCGGGAAGCCTGCTTCTCCTTCTCCCACTCCCCCTGCTTGTGTTCCCTCTCTAGCTGTGTCTCTCTCTGTCAAATAAATAAATAAAATCTTTAAAAAAAAAAAAAGTTTCAAAAGGATCTTGCCTGATTCACTATTGAATCTAGAACCTGGTACATGGTTAAGTGCAATAATTAAAACTTTGTTGATTTAACGACTAACTTCTCAAGCTGCAAAAAATCCCCTTAAGGATTCACTCCTGTAGAAGGCAGCAGCAGGGTATGGTGGTCAATTTCCATTTATGATTTCACAATACAAATTCTAGACACAAGTAAAGGAAGGAATGTTTAATAAATTCGTGCTAGAGTTTACAGAAGTTTCTTTCTTTTTTTTTTTAAGATTTTATTTATTTGACAGAGAGACAGCGGGAGAGGGAACTCACAAGCAGGGGGAGTGGGAGAGGGAGAAGCAGGCTCCCCGCGGAGCAGAGAACCCGATGCGGGGCTCCGATCCCAGGACCCCGAGATCATGATCCGAGCGAAGGCAGACGCCCAACGACTGAGCCACCCAGGAGTCTCTCTCTATATATATATTTTAAGATTTTATTATTTATTTGACAGAGAGACACAGCGAGAGAGGGAACACAAGCAGGGGGAGTGGGAGAGGGAGAAGGAGGCTTCCCCGCGGAGCAGGGAGCCCGATGTGGGGCTCGATCCCAGGACCCTGGGATCATGACCAGAGCCGAAGGCAGCCGCTTAACTGACTGAGCCATCCAGGCGCCCCGAGTTTATATAAGTTTACATCTGCACCTCAACTTGTTTGCAATACTGCTTCAAGGCTGCCAGGATTTCCCCAGTCAAGGAAAATAATTAGTTAACACAGTTCCTAAAGTATGGAATTACTTTAAACACACTGGTCTAATACACTGTTTCCCAAAGTGTTCCTATAGTGCAGCTGGTGCTATGCAGGATGATTTTAGTGATACAAAAATGAACTTTATTTAACTGTATTTATTTTAACTTGTATGAAAAACTCTAGCCCATGGGGGCGCCAGGGTGGCTCAGTCATTTAAGCCTCAGACTCTTGATTTCTGCTCAGGTCATGATCTCAGGGTCGTGAGACCGAGCTCTGGAATCCGGCTCCCCGCTGGGCTTGCAGCCAGCTTAAGATTCCCTACTCCCTCTACCCCTCCCCCCTACTCCCCTCCGCGCGCGCGCGCTCTCTCTCAAAACAAAAACAAAAAAACTTTAGCCCATGAAACCCACGATTTCATCTGTCTTGCTTAGATTGAAACTAAAGCACTTAAACTTGAAAAACAAACCAATTTAAAGAAAACTATTAAGAAAATAATAGTACATTAGATAAGAAGGGATGGCAAAAAGTAACCAAAGGAACAGGAATGGCTTAAGTTTGTTTAACAATATGCCGCTAGGGCGAACAGGCTTCGTCATACACACTACACCTCTCTAACAAAGTGAGTTACTACGGGTGGGGCTGAAGTCGCCTCCTCCGCCTTCCCCATCAGACAGCCTACTTGCCGCGGGATAAAAGCACCAGAAGGGAAACATAACTGGCCCTTGGCTGCGCCAATGGGGTTGGAGCGCGCGGGGCACAACCCCGGGGTTACAAGAACCTCATGTAGGAAGAGGCTGGGACACAGCCGAATGAGGAGGCTAACCCGCTACCACTCTAAGAGTGATCGCCTGCCCTTTCTCAGTCATGGGTGTGGGGGTAGCTTCCACCACTAGCCTGCGTTGGGAGCGAGCCCTGAGTTTTCTGAGGCTCAGAACTACTGTAGGTTCGCTGAGTCCGAGGGATGCAATGTAAGCAGCGCCGCGGCCGGGACACAGGATGCCGTGTTACCGCACCGCGTCGGGGAAGAAGGCAAGAGCCGTGATTAGCAGGGATGAGGGATGTCTGGTTGCACTACAGAGGAGGTGGGGAGTGTGATAGTTTCTGCAGCAGCGCGGGGACTGCAGGTCGCGATGCTATGCAGAGAAGGAACAGCGGGGTCGGGAGTTGGTTCCCAATATCTTAGTGCTATGGGAAAAGGAGGAGGAGGAGTAATCGTGGGGCCCCCGCTCACCCCGCTGCGGTACACTCACCCTCACCAAAGTCCTTCCGGAAGTCCAAGTTCGAAGATGGCGCCGCCTGTCTGGTCGCGGTTTTATGACGAAATCTGGTAGCTACTCTTTATTGACCCCCTCCCCCCACCCCCCTACCTCCAATGCACAAGGCAAACACGTGAGTTTCGTGGGTACTTTGGCCCGAAGACGTTTTCTCAGACTATGTATTCCATAATGCAGTGCGGCGAAAGTCCCGCGCCCTTTCGGAGCGGGCGAGGCTCCCGGGCTTTACCCGCGCCGGGGACGCTGCGTGGCCTTCTGGGAATTGCAGTGTCAAGAAAGGAAGATTGACGCCTGCGCGGTGACGGCCGTCGCGCCCCGCGGCTTCCCACGGGGCCTGTATGCGAGCCTCGAGTGTAGGGCGCGTGTAGGCCTCGTCGCCGCTGAAGCCTGCCTAACGGTCAAGGCTACCGGCCGTGTAGCGAACAGGGCCCGGCTGGAGTGAGAGTAACTACTCCGGCGCCGTCCGAGCTGAGGACACAGACTGAGAGACAGAGGAAGCCTAGCCGCTGGCTGTCAGAGGATGACTGGGGCCTCCTCCGCGGGCGGCCACTCATGAAGCCAAGGATGGGCGCTACAAAAACACAAACGGGGTTGGGAAAAGGACACGGAAGGGAAACCAGTAGAAAAGCCTGGCGTGGGGACGCTACACTGTAATGAGCCTCAAGCTTGGCCCCTGGCCTTGGTTGGGCATAGGCCTTGCCCCACTCCCTCCCCGGGAGATGGGATGCGGGTGGACAAAGAACGTAACAAATTTCTGCCCTTTCCTGAGACATTTAAAACCATATAAACTTTACAGGTCTCCGCATATTAACTAGGAGAGTTCAGGACATAGGGACAGGAAAGGGTTGAGTAAACCAGTCTTTCCCCCCAAAATTTCACCTATTAAATTCCCTTGGGGGCGCCTGGGTGGCTCACTCGTTAAAACGTCTGCCTTCGGCTCAGGTCATGATCCCCGGGTCCTGGGATTGAGCCC